CCAAACGGCTAATGTGAAGGCACTTGACCTACTGTGACCTGCAGTACTCAGACTGAAATGTCTGAGGAGGTGCTGCGCTGTATCCAGGTAATATGCACAGAAGTTTATCAGTGAAATCCAACCGATCTCACCTACAACCTCAGAGAGGCCACGGAGCAGACGTGAGTGCATTTGTAATGCAAAATACTGCGTGCTTGAATGGACTTCATGTGGCTCTACTTTACATTTGAGGTTAAAAGCAGTAATGTTTCTGTGGGTATGGCACGATATAAGACTTTAATCTTTTTTTATTGTGGCGTTAGCCTGGGATTGAATACTGTCTGAAATTAAATGATTTAAATGTCTTGTAAAGAATACTTCAAAACACTGAAGTACTGAACATAAGGGATTAGTTGAATGCGATGACGTTTTTTCTACTGGGGTTGGCTGTTTTAGTGTTCTCATAGCTCAAGTTTAACAGAATTACCCAATGATAAAACATTTATTTCATCTGGAAAGACTCGAGGGCAATATTGCAATTTGAAATATTTATGACAAGATGCTAGGGAATAAAACACCATTAGACTTAGAGACTTTATATTTATTGTTAAGATTAGACCCCATGCAGGGGATACTGCATGACGTCTGCAGAGGAGTTTATAGAGATTATGAGCTCGCGACCCCTGGGCCTAGAACCTGGTGGTGAAGAAAGCTGAGTCAAAGACATGACATTATACTACTGAAAAGTCGGTGATGGGGAGGAGGTGGGTTGCTGCTCGAAACAGCAGCTTACGCGGGAGAGAAACAGAGAGCTGATGAGCACAGGTGCAGGAGAGTCGATGGAGGGGTTCAGTGAGGCAGCGTGACGCTCTTTGTTTCTAGTTTTGAATTTTGCGCTAATGCTTCAGGGATTGTTTTGAATACAGATAACGTGATGGCAGATATAATTACGTATTTTTTGGTCGATATGTTGGGCAAATTATGTATCATTTGTATTTACTACGAAATAAGAGCAGTGTGTAATCATGTGTTGTTTTTTTTTCTTATGTGATCTTTTGCAGCTGACTAATTTGAGTTTGATGGGTGGTCGGTCTTCAAAACTTAAGTCAATACTGTTTTATTGTTTTCCATTTAATGCTGATAATATTTTGGTTTCACTCCCTTATTTCTAGAGACATTCCAGACATAAGTAATGTGATTTGGAAAAAACAAAAAGTCAGAAGAAAGGACTACTAAAATTAACCACACAAATGTATATAATAAATATATGTTGAGAAGGCGACAGTAGCTTCAGTTGGTAGGAGATTGGCCTTTGAGCCTGAAGGTCGTGGGTTCGAGCCACATCATGACCTACTTCACAACTCCCATGATGACTTGCTGTCGTAGTGTCCTTGGCAAGACACTTAACCCCACTTTTGCTGAAGCCCCCACTGAAAGATCTCAGTTCCTGTGGACTCACCACCTGTCTGGAGGATCAGTGAGGCTGGTTCTCTGTGACTGTTCTTTCTTTTTGGTGCAGCTCTGACTGCCACCCCCCAGACCCAGAAAGGGATTAAGGGGAAGAAAATGGATGGATGGATGGATGGTATGTTGAGAGAAAAATTTGCTGTATTGAAAGCATAGCAAACCTGGTATTTGGGCTAAAGGGATAAGAATGTCATGAAATTTTATTTTTTTTATACCAATACAAATATACAGAATGCAATTGCTCTATGAAATTCAAGAAGACCATGAGTGTTTATCCGTGTATCACATCCTATTTACTGTGTTAAATTATATACTGTTGTGCAAAAGTGCAGCCTTGAAAATGCCAATTTGTAATTCAATTCAGTGCTATGATTGGATCGTGCACCCTGAAGGCCCCTCACTCGACTAAGGCACACAGAAATAGGCTATTCAGGACCTCATTCACCACTGCTTGTTAATTAGATTGCTTTTGCTTTCTATTCCATAACACACGCTCGGGCCGTGCCTCTGTGGTGTGGCAGAGACAGACAAAACATGAGAGTAAATTTTGACAAGATATCATGAAGCCAATGAAATTTAGCAAGTTTCACGGATTTGTTTCATCATTCAGCTAGTTACCTCATTTGTAGAAAAACTTTATGTACAGGTTATGGACTGACAGATTCATTGCTAGCTAGCATAGGCTCAATAGGTAAGCCGCTATAATTATGTAAATAAAAAGCAAACAAAAAATCAAAGACATAGTTTTATTCACCTTTGATAGCAGTAGATAATCCTGACATGACAAAGCATGCAGTGTGAACAACGTACAGCGGTGATGAAGGTCCCGAGATGTAGCTTAGCTGGCTAGCCTTGTGGCAACATAGGCATATGGTGTTATTACGAGAGCATATTTTACAAATTTAATTTAAAGTGACATTTGTGTCTTAATTCGTTTGTATTTAAATTTTTTAACCAATTCACGGACTTTAAGTCCGCCATCTTGAATTGCTTCGGTTGCCGTGAAACGCGCCTGCGCAGGTTTGCATTTTATCTTAAACAGCTGAGGCAGCTCAACTCGACAAGAGGCGCAACTCGACAGAACACCGGAATACACCAAATCCACACAGAAAGGCTTCGTCTGAACGTGGAATGAAACCCAGAATCTTCTTACTCTGAAGCACATATTTCTCTAACCGCTGCACCACATGTGTTGCCTCCCCATTGGTTTGGCTACGGCTCTGCAAGTCTTACTGGTAGTGTTTATACCCAACATATGATTAATAAAAACAAAATTAAAGTTTTTTTTTACATTGGGGCGGCAGTAGCTCAGTTGGTAGAGCGTTGGCCTTTGAGCCAGAAGGTCGTGGGTTCAAGCCCCGCTCAAGACTTTCACCATCGACTCCCACTGTCTGCTGTTGTTGTGTCCTTGGCAAGACACTTAACCTCTGGGGACACCAGCCACAGTGGGGCGGCTGCGGCTGTAAAGTGCCAAACTGCCGTTGTGTCCTTAGGCAAGACACTTCACCCCCATTGCCTGGAATGAATCTGGTGTGTGTGTGAATGGTTGTTGGTGGTCGGAGGGGCCAATGGCGCATACTGGTTGCCTCGCTTCTGTCAGTGTGCCCCAGGGCAGCTGTGGCTACAGTAGTAGTTCATCACCACCGTGTATGGAGTGAATGAATAATGACACATGTGAAGCGTCTTTGAGTGTCCAAAAAAGCGCTATATAAAACCGATGCATTCTTTGCAAATAAAGCAAGATGGTTGGAAATGTGCATTATTTTACTTCACTTGAAGTTGCTGACATCAACTTTAATGTAACATTATGGCTGTTTTCCTTGTTTGAGTGATGTTGAGTCAGAATGTTTGCAGAGGAATGGACGGGGATTTGTGGTAGGTGAAAAAGAGTCCCCTCGAAGCTTCGAATGCAGGACACAGATTCAGTACGACACTTTTTGGTTTAATTATCAAGAGTTTGTGCATAAATAATTAGCACCCTCTCACATTTCACACTTCACAACTGATTTATGATGACACCACCCAATGTTTGACTTTTATTTGACACTCACAGTGTTATTATGGCTTTGTGCAGACGTCATCCTAATGTGATATTGGAGTTTAACATGTTCTTATCTCTGACTGAAGTATGTGGACTCTGGCCTTTACGATTTCAAGGTCTGACTCTCATAAACATGTGGTGTGTCTTCAGTCTTCCGCATGAGAGGAATCCTCTTTTATTGTATTGTAGATACAAATTTGAATTGAAAGTGTAAAAAAGACAACCAATGCTAATAGATGATCATAAATGTCCTTAAATTGCTGGATCATCACCACTGTCACCTTTAAATTCCACGACCCCATTTATAAACAGGTGATACTAGGACATATCATGATCTGCAGTACTTGCTGGATTATTAAGCACACCTCTATTAACGCACTGGCTGAATTGGATATAAGCGGAGAGAAAGTTGGATATACTGTAAACTGCTGGTTTTCATGTTATAACGTAACACTTTTCCAACAGCTGATGAACAAACCATAGAAGATAGACTACTATTTTAACTGGTCCCAACATGATTTAGTGACGAGGTGTTTTAATGGACTGTTGACTTGTGATGATCAAAGCGCTCTAGTAAATCCAATACATTTTTACAATCACATTCATCACCTAATCACTTGTACAGTACATATATTTCACATAATGATTCAAAAGTCCATTCACTTAAATAAGTCAATGTTTAATGTGAAACTAATATATGACTTATTACACGCAAAGATTAATACATCAAATCTTTATTTATTATAATGTTGAGCCAATGCTCACAGTTGGTAAAAAACTCAGATACAACAGAAAATTATAACATTTTGAAAATGGACTGTACGTCTTGGCGTATACACTTTGCATTATGTTTCACATTTTCAGTTTAATTACAAAAATGAATTAACTTTTGATGAACAATATTTTATAATATTCCAGTTTCACCTTCATCTGCTCTTTCATGCCTTAAATTTTTTAAATACTTTTGGTTAGCTGTGCTTCTAAGTGCGTTAATATGGGTTAGCCACACTTCTATGTTCAGATAGCCATTCTGTTTACGTTCTGTTTACTGTCATTTACTCTATCAGTATGACAACACTTAAAATGTCTCAAATAAATACATTGTTTGACAATTATTCAACTAAGTGCATTCTATTCCCAACCTTATAACATACGGTTACAGCTTAGGCTTTTACTTTCACCAGAGTTAATTTGTATACTAGTTTCCACATGTTTAATAAAAGATAACTTTCAAAGCACACAAATGGAACTCCAAGTCACTTTTACCTGGCTCAAAACAGTTCTTCTTCTATCACTTTCGCAGGTATGGCTTATGTCACGTCTTGGGATATGAGCTCTTTCAGACTGAAAATTGAAGAATGGACTATTACAAACATTCCACCCCCCTTAGAAAAATACTATGCTGTATCGATTAGAAGTCATTTGACCTATTTATTCAATACGCACTGGGGCTCCTCACGTGCCCATGTGCTCTCATCATTCCTTCACTCCTCCTCTGTGAATGTGAACGCGCATGCGCAGAGGCCAGGCGTGTCGTTGCATCGGTTACATCCCCGTGTCTTCGGAGTGTGGTCTGGTCCCTGATCTCTCCGCACACACTGTCTTTGTCGCCGCGGAGCATCCAGCAGCATCCAACCATCACCACGGAGAGCGCATTACGCACACGGACCACGAGGTTTCGGTACGTGCACATGCCCCGGGCCTTTTACTTGCGTTCCCGTCACACTCATACACCACGAACACGGAAAGGCATTCGAGGGGTAGGACAGCGTGAAGCGCCGGGCCAGCATGTAGGGGTGATGCGTAATTGGCCTTCTCTCTTCTTAATCCCTCTCCGTGGCCAGATTTGGGTCGAAATCTATTGTTTTTACGAGCCCTAGACTTAAAAAAAATACTCTGATGGTAGCAGATATGCGCATGGAACTATTTAGACGTCTGTCGTTTTGTTTGCTAATTATTGCACGCTATTTGAGTCAGAAACGGAGCCTGATTATGATGAACGAGCGCGCATAATTGTACATTGCACATCGTGGCCTGATTGAACTGAACCCTAAACTTAAACGAGTATACCCATAACTCTGCTGCCATTCCGTTCGAACATATTTGGATCCCATTCAACGAGGAGAAACCATTTATTGTGAACGTGAGCGCAGTGCAACTGTGGATTCTATGAAAGAACATGACTGAACCAGGTCTACACTATAATTGGCTGAGCGGAGTTTAAACTATGTATGCGCATGTCTGTTTCTAGGTTTTGCCATGTCAGTTCATAATGCCATCGTTCTATTTTGAGTGAGATAGCGGTTTTTATGGTGGATGAGAGCGCATGGAGCAGGCCTTGACTGAACCAGGGCTTTCCCCATTGTCCTACTGTAACTGTAGTACAGTACCCCATGTTTCCACAAGCTTCTGCCCGTGAATACAGTTTCAAAGTGTGTGCTCTGTACAGCTTAGCGGTGGAAGTGTAGCAGTAATGATGCAATGTTATGCAATGAATAATTAGAATTACTGGCCTCACGTTTCTGTACTACAGTCCTGAGTTTTTCAGGAGTATAGCACTCAAATGGTGTAAGGATGTATGCGACATCACAACTAGCAAATCACAATTCTGCGCAGAAAATACCAAAAAAAGGTTTGACTTACAAAAAATAGTTGCAATTTGAAATTATGAAATATACTTAAAGATGCAGTAAGCGATTTTGTTAGCTTAGCCGTAGCACCAACTGAAACCACTCCCCCTCGCCTCTCCACCAAACCAAAACAACTGGCACACGTGAACGCGCATCCACAAGTAACATTATCTGTCATCAGTTGAACATGTCACATTCTCCTGATGAGCAGAAGAGTCACGTATCGCGGCTGTGTACACAGCTGTACAGAGTTGCTGTCTCTGTGAGGTCTATGGAGAAGTGTAGAGGACAGTGTAATGTGTTCACTGACACTAAATGATCAGACCGATGGGTTGTGTTTGTACGTTTACTCTGCACTCTGTCCTAATACGCTATAGACGTGTTGCTGCAGTCGTTACTGCTCACGTATGTTTAGGGCGTTCACGGGTAGTCCGTACAGAAAGTGCGGTAGAGCAGTAAAATCCACATGTGTGTTTTCCTAATGGTACCTGTGGCTGTTGTGGTCAGACGTGTAACTTCATGAACAGCGTGAAGCGGAGAGACCCGCGCACGTGCGGCCATTATGTGTGATGTCAGTGAAAATTACCTTGTGAATGTACAGCCAGATCTCAGTCGTAATATTCAATCAGGTTTAGAAAATCCAACTCAAATGAACGTACTCGCGAAAAACAGGAAGAGGGTGAAGGGGGTAAACGCATCCCATTGGTTCGTTGGGGATGAACGAATCCCATTGGTTTTGTTTTATCGGTCCGCTCCAAAATATTATTTATAAATTTTTGGAGACTACAGGCATCTGGTCAATTCCCTTACTATTTGAAAACCGATGATAACTTGATTACTTTTGGGGTTTAGGGACGTTTTCCCACAATATTTTAAAAAATGCATCTGGAAAAAATCACTGACTGCATCTTTAAATAAAGTTGATTTTATAAAATGTTATAATTGTTACTGTCCATCCATAATTACTAGAAGTGGAATCACTCTAAAAACGTTTGTGTTTTTAAACTGAAAGTTGTTTTATCAATACATTCTAAACAAACTTGTGCTTTTATAACCCCTTTTCCTTGCACTGTCCAGGGAACAGGGGGCGTTCTTGTTGTGATGTGCCACAGTTGTGTTCTCTCAAATCTTTTGAATATTGCACACATTGTGTAAGATGGCTTTGTCGTACTGTAATGTCTATAAATACACCAGCAATGGAAGAATGTCTAATCTAGGGATGTAAATCGGTGACCGTTTAACCGGTGGTTGACCGTCACAGCGTTAACCGGTCAAAGCTGTCGGTTAAAAAAAAGAAAAGGGGAGAGGGGAGGTCTATTAATAACGCTATTTTAAGCCCTATTTGCACGGTGTGACGAGCGGGTCCGTATCTAGCTGTGAGCGCCAATGTAACAGTGAACTCCGGTACGACTCTCATGCCGCACGCGCCACATATGCGCGCACACATGCACACGCACGCACACACACACACACTTTCCCCCTCTCCATACGTCACATCCACATGCATCATCTCTCCCCTCTGTTACCGTCAAAGTTGCACACTGGCGCGGGTCAGAACTACATTGGAGCTTACATTTACACACACGGATCCATGTATTGTACACACACACACATACCGGTCTGTCGCGCTCCTCTGTGTCACGGAGCCCAAAGGATTCGCGCAAATACGCGGCTCCAGTCAAACCACATGAAACGTGTTTGTGTTTATGGTCCTCGGGATCAGCTCCACACACATCACTTGTATTTAAACTTTTGCGAAGACCTGCTCGTCACTCGCTGCTCTGACCATGTGGACGAGCTGTTGTCTGCTGCTAAAAAGTTTTGGTTTTAACCCGCAGCACAGAAGAATGGGAAGATTAAAAAAGCAGTTCTCTGTGCGCAAAGGTGCCGAAGCTGTTGCGGGTTTTGGCGCCGCTGTCTCTGCTCTGATCCAGTAGAACGCATAGCTTCACTTATGAAAAGTACGCGACTCGACATGGCTCTTATTTCAAAGAACGTGGAATATTTTAAACTACGCGGTTAACCGGTTTCAACCGGTTAATGAGGCTCGGTGGTCGGTCATGAAAATTCATAGTTTTTTACATTCCTAGTCTAATCATAGGTTTCTTATGAAGGTCAGATGCTGCTGGTGTGAAAAGGGTAGTGTGCCCCAAGTGCCATTCAGATGAAAACAACTTACACCTTGGGTTTCACAGTACACATGTGGAGTGGTGGGAGAGGCTGAGGCCCTGTTTAGATGGAGGTGCTGCGCAGACATTGCAAAGCAATTACCAGAAACGACCAGGCACCCAATTACACAAAACAATGTAGTTCTAGCGCCAGGCCAGTAGTGGGCAGAGGAACTTTATAACACGACACACGCAACCCTCAGCCCCCAAATGAAATGATCGATATGTGCATTCACTTTTATTAATGCACATATTTATTGAAGTGTATTTAACAAGTGGCTGCTGTTCTGTGGCCAGGTGTGCATTTATCCTTCATTATCTGATTTATTATTGGCAGAAGTAAATATCAAAATCTTTACAATTATTTATTATTATTGGGACGACTGGCTCAGTTGGTAGAGCATTGGCTTCCTGAAGGTTGTGGGTTTCCGTGTCTGCATTTACACTTTACTTGTGAATATTCTAATCACATAAAGTCTTGGTTCTGCTCATGTTCAGTCCTGTCCCTACAAACGGACTGATCCGGTTTTAACATTCACGTCACATTCAGATCAAAGAGAAAACATTCTGCCAAGATTCAAGCTTTTCCCAGTCAGTCTGTTGTCCAATGCTGTGCCTTTACATGTGTTACATTTTCAATTGATATTTGTTTTACCAGTTTGACTGGGAAAAAGGCAGAGCCAATTTGCAATAATAGTGAAAATATTATGTATACATTTTTTTAGCAACAAAATCTCCAGCACTTTGTTTAAATGCCGGAAGCACATGTAAAAAGTTCCAGTGTACAGATTTGATGTGATGTAATCAAGTGGAGAGATGTCCAGGTAACAGATGCTGACTTGTATTTTGAGTGATTTTAGCGTTTTAAGTTAGGGCGGTTGTATCACAAGTTCAGCTGTAATGCAGTAGAGTAATAACTGTGATATTAGTAGAGTTGTAAACATTATTGTTTTAACCAGTAGGCACGATAAGACAAATTAGTCAATCGATTAGGGGTGTCACGATTCTTTCAAATACTTGATTGGACGTGATTTTCAATTTTAGGGTCACTATTTGATTCTCGATTTATTTTCCTTTTCTTACAGCACACTGTAGTGTACTATAGCGTGGCTCAAGTTTGCTAATTTTTTCCACCACCGAATAAGGCTGCAGATCTGCTGCAATGTTTTTAAGCAGTTTTCTTCGGGAAGAGCGACACACGCTCCGGAGCCTCTGTGTTGTTTTATTGATGCAGTGTGATGTCAATTTGTGACATTTGGATTTAAAGCTTTGTTCAGCTTTGTGCCTTTGGTTCTAGTTGAACAAAAAGCACTCAAGTACTGAACTTTCCCTCTCACAAATAAAGTGTTACTGCTGACCTCTGCATGACTCATCACAAACGGACCTGAAGCTGCATTTGGCTGCATTCTAATAATTTTCTGGATCTGTGACAGCATATAATGTTGTTGTGTTTTTTCTTGTTGCCGCTTTGTCTCATGAATCCTTTCCAGATTCCAGTCTGACAAGAGTTCTATAAGCTGAATTTCAGAAGTACAGTTCCTCTAGATCCAAATAGAAACTGCTGATGTCCAGAGTTGGCTTGTGGTGTTAGACTTCTGATTTTGAGTACTGTAAATGATTAGTACGGGAAACTTTCACAGAACCATCCTGAATTCCAGTGCAAGGAGACTCTAAGCTTGGGGCCCTCTGTGCCTTTTAAGAGCTCCATGTGTTTTACTATTGCTGTGTTTTCAGAACTCTAATCATTTGAGAGGCCTTGATGGGGCCTGCTTCTTACTGTCACAGTGAGAAGAAATTATTTGTCTTAGCATTTTTGAACCACTAGAATGAAATATTCATCTTGATGCAAGTGTATATATTTTGAGTGTGATAACAAAATAATT